AATATAAATAGACTCTGAGCTTCACCGAAGTTCGGTACTATTCTCTGTGACCTTCAATAACACAGCAAATACAGATCTAGTAATAGAGGAAGAAGTATTCCAGCAGAGGCCCCCAGCATTGCAGCAGAGGCTAACTTCTTGCTGTCTTCCCTAAGAAGAAGGAAAGAAAGCATCCTAGTCAGTCACCATGCAAATAGTTTGCATGACTTGTGAACAGCCCACCTGGAGCCTCCTCAGATTTCAAGTCTGCAAAAAAGCAATTTTGAAATCTGTTCCAGAAATTTGACAGTCAGAAAAAAAGAGAAACCTCCTGAGACCAAGGACAATAGTAAAAGATATAATTGATAGATGGACAGAAAACCACTGAAGGACAAACTCAGTATCAGGAAGGCAGAAAAACACTGAAGGACAAGCTCAGTATGAGGATTAAACACTTATTAGCATATCATGAATTGGTAACAAGGGATTTTAGACTTATCTGATTTATAATCCTAAGGGTCAGCTCCCTACAGTATGACGGTGGCTTTTCTATAGGTTGTGTAAAGGTGGCAGTTTGTTCACATCAGCACAGATCCCAGGGGGACATTTCTTTGGTGAAAGATGGCTAAGAATTCCACAGCAGCTAATGCAAGTCTGAGCACACTTCATCAAAGTCAACACACAGCTAAAGCTTTACAGAAAATATAGATCAGCTATTGTGTCCCAAGGTCCATACAACCAGATATATTTCCTTTGACACAAAACCAGGGTTTTCAGTCTTGATTTTAAGGTAAGAGGGTTTATAACAATTTATTTATACTATGAGGTTTTCTCTCCTATTTGTGAAGTGCTGATATTATTTGTACATGTGTGCTTATCAAATTAAATTGATTTTAAAAACCTTATTGCTGTGTGTGCACACATACACCCTCCTTTTTGTATGTACATTTGTTTACGCACAGAGTATTTCTTTAAACTCATAACTTTGTATGTACAAGTTCTAAAAGATGCCATGACCATAAGATAAATAATGGCTAAATTATAAACTTTTAAAGTAGCAGAATGTCAGTAATACATAGATCAAGGGCTTCCCTGTGCTAATATCCATATGAGCAATAAGCCACAGTATTTCCTACCCTGTAATGCGTGTCATGGTTCTGAGCCATAGGCTCTCACATTTTTTGTCTGCATACAGGCACGCACAGGCTCACAGAGCAGATGTGAAAGTCACAAGTCTCTAATGTAATTCATGCTCCAATTCAGCAACTGTGAGGGTATTCTAAAGACAACACTGCGACTAACACAGCCAAGAAATTCCTGAGAGAATGATTGTTAACAGTGCTGAGAAACTTTTCCTCTGGGTTATTATCCCATCGAGAGAGAGAGAGTGGGGGGTTTAGCAGTCTTAACCAAACAAACAGCTCTGAGAAAATAGACATATTCCCTCTGAGATTATAGCGAATGAAAAACAAAAAACCATCTTATGTTAAAAGTGGTTTGAAGCATTCGTGATACTGTCAGTGAAGTACTTGGACTTCTTCCTGCTTTGTGCATCAGGTCAGAGTTTCCATTCTCCCAAAGGAAGCTAAGTATTGGTTGAAAAAGAGAAAGTCCCATTTACTCTTACTGTTATCTTTTCACAGCTGTCTTCACTGAACAGGGGTGAGGCACAGACACACGTAGCGGTTATTACAGCCACATGTAGTGATTATTACAGCCACCAGAAAACAATGCAGTAGGAACTCAAATGGGCAGTCCTGTTAAAATTATTTACATCTGGGACACTCTCCTCACACACATCAAAGTAACTGAAAGGGAAGTTGCTTGAAAAACGTATTTTCTTGGAATATTTTCAATCTCTTGAGCTAGCTGGCAAATCAAAGATATGATTCTGTTCCAGGGCACTGAAAGTCAGAAATAAAGTAAAAAAACAACCTGACTAATGGCTTAATATAATTTTAAGATTTCAGAAGTGTCTGGCTCCTTTTCCCTATACATCATCTCCTTACACGGCCTAAAGCAACTTTGCCATGCTAACACAGGTTAAACTCACAAAGTAACACTTTGGTAATATACCTGAAGTAACAAGCTGTAACTATTCCCTCAACTACCTCTCATGCATTTTAAGCCGTATCCAAGCAAATCAAGTTAACAGGGTAGATGGGGAGAAGAAAGATACTTCTATGACTAAGAAGCAAGGCTACAACTCAACTGCTGGTACTCCCACAGATTTCCCAGCTCAGTCTTCTGTGCTCCTTTTGTCTCTGAAAAAATAACACCAGTAGAAATGCTTCTAATATTTAACCTTTAAGTTTTCTGTGTTATGTTTCTTAGTGTGCTGAGACAGTCATTAGCACAATCAAGCAGTGGTTGCAGGCTGAAGTTCGATACTGGTTCATTACTGTGGCTCACTATTTGCTGGTACAAAACATCAGAGCAGCCCTCAGGAGAACATTTGATAGCATCACTCATCTATCTGCATTGTCATACAGTCCAGATGGTTGCAGTATGTAGGCAACTGGGAACCAGAGCAGCAGGAGAAGTACATCCTGCTGCACTTTCCTTCTGGTGCTAAACTCAATGCATTTAGCATTTAGATTAGTTTGTTGGTTAGGAAGCCTCTACAGCTCTGAGTAGATGCTCTCAAAAGTCTAGCAAACAAAATACACTGCAGCAACTGCACTCAGTAGTTTGCCAACTATCAAATGACTACATTTGCCCATAAAAACTCTATAAAAGACTACTGCAGCTCAGCCAAGTGACAATTGCCTACTGTGGAGATTGAATGTTGAGTTCCATAAGGATGATATTCTGTTCAAATGGGTCTTATTAAACCAAAACACAGAAATTTGTGTACTTTAGCAGATTAACTATTACTATGATGTACAACCCCAGAGACAAATAGGAAACTAGACTTCTTCCATTTGGCAAATGCAATTTTATTTCTGGATTAGTTGTAAGAGTTAAAATTTTAAACATTCTAAAGTATGTACCCTGCCACACAGATTCATTGGCATACTGGAATAATATTGAAAATAGAGAAAGTGAACATAAGTAATCATCTGTATATCAGTACAGAGTTCTCAGAAACATAACTGTTATTTTTCTGTGTTGCAGAAAGGAGGGTTTCCAAACCTTGAAAACACAAGACTTCAGTGGGGATTTGATACACCAAAGAACTACAGTTGGTGATAACATTAGTACAGGTAAGAAAAATCTAAACACCATAGAAAAACAGAATACAAAATGGCAGATACAAGGAAAGAAGAAGTCAATGACATTTCTAAAGAGATCTCTCAATATATAAATAAATTCCTAAGTCTACAACTGTAATCATACTTACTGTAAGCCAAGTTAGTATAGATTTTATGGTCTTGAGAAATTTACTCAAATCCAAGACACCCAGTCACCAAATGCAGAATGTTATACTTGGTGGCTTTCTGCACAGTTTAGTCACATACACAGCCTCACTGAGAACAAAGTACATAACTGCAGACTGAACCACACCCAGATTTTCCACCCATGAGTATACAAGGTAGGAATTTTTGCCACCAATAAAAATATCAGTAGTATAAATGTGACTACACATGATGATTTTATCTGGACTACCTGCTAGCTGTCTACTTTGATGGTACAGAATATCCTTTCTATTGTATAAGCATCACCAAAATTATTCCTTATAATGCTAGCACTCCTGGTATTTCCCAGTTTTTCAACCAGCAGGGTTTTTATATTCAAAAAGCATCACAACTGAGCAACAGAAATGGGCATTAAGAGAGCTACAAGAATATGAGTGAGAACCAAATTACCTGTATGCATTCCCATTTTGCCTGGGAAAATCACCATGTAGGGAGTAAAAATATAATCCTTTTCACACCCAAACTGGCCTGTGAATGTGTATTCACAAGTGTTGCATGTGGGAACAGACATCTGTGTTCTATCTCCATTTGTCATTTTGATGTCTATTTCCAGGAAAACTGAAAGATAATTTTCAAAATTTGCCCCCCCAAAATAGCAAAAATAGACTGAGTGCTCACAGACCAAACTATTCTCACCAGCAGTTCTCCTCAATCATCTTGCAAAAAATTTTTGCTGTCTGTCTATAGAATGATTTTAAATGACTAAATTTATCTAAGGAATCTGAAGTCTCTAGTTCAATTTGCAGGTCTGATTGCTCACATTTCTTTCGAGTAAAGATGCATTTCATATGGTAATTGATTTCCTATTCATTTACAGAGCAGCATGTTTCTGCAGAGGAAAGACTCCATTTCTCTACTTGTAGCCTTCTTTAAAAAAATGTCCTGCAGAAAAAAAGAAACTGCTGTTAGCTGTCATGTAAATTTAGTCTTTCTCGTAAGCACATTTTTTGTAACTGGACCTCAATTAAGTAAGTTTTGATTTGTGTTATAGGCAATAGCTGACAAGACCCACATGCAACAAGAAATCTTACCTTGGTGGTTCTAGAGATCTGTCACTGTACTTACAGTGATTACAGCACAGAGAAACCATACACAGTAAACCGAGTTTGTGACACAAGGATAATTTCAGACCAAACCCATCGTATAGTGACAACAGAGGCAAACTTCAGTGAAAACCAAAGAGTCACAAATACTTGTTTACAGGCACACTGTCATATAATACAAATGGAAACTTGTTCTTTGGACAAGCCTTCACAAGGAAGTAGTTTGTAGTTGCTTGTATACTCATGAACTCAAAAAGCCACAGCAGTGGTCCACAGATAAGGGGAAAAAAATTAGGTTAAACCTACTTGTTTAAAGAGGGCCTATTTATTTGATAGTCTGGCAGATGATAAACCAGTTCTGCAGAGGATCTCCAAGGGACTTATATTTTAATAACACAGGCATGGCAAAAGCCCAAAGAACACTACAGCATGCCAGGAACAAGCACAAGCATGGCAAGCAATGCACAGGCAGGCACATGCTGAAAAAATAATGCAGCCTCACAATGGCCAGTCATGTTAACCCAGGTGTGGCTATTCACCATGAGGGGCACTGCAGTGGCTACAGCTGCAGGAGATACCCTTGTCTGTACACGGGTGCACTGCCTTCAAAAACCTTTCTGTGTGTGTTGGGACTGATTGTTGATGAGGGAATAGTAGGGCTAAATATACAGGACACGAAAACAAAAATAACAGTGACAGTTATTTCCTTGCTTGTTAGTTGATGCAGAGGTATTAAATGCAATGTTACATCAATTTACAGTTGGTGTTAGCCAGTAAAACTATACTAGTTTGCAGCAACTAATACTCCAGTATTCTACATAAAGCAAATGTCCATGTACCAGTGACTACGAAACTTTACTCTGCCATTTTACTTGGTAGTAAGGATATCTTCAAATCTTTTCCTACAGTCAAACTAGAAAACATTAGTCTTGGTTTTGAAACTCTTCATCCAAAGTAAAGCAAGTTGTATGGACTTGATACTTCCATCACACTTTAAGCTATGGATTCTTTTGTTTTACACCTATGCTGATGATCTTTTAAAAAAAGACTCTGAATATCAGAAATTGTCAAGACACCCAAATCACTTAGCTCTTCTGAAAATTTAACACTTAGATTGGCTTAGACAAGAGCAGTAACTGCAATCTGATTAAAAAAACCCCCAAACAACAGATTTACATGTCTGGTTGTGATGAAGAATGCTTACAGACATTTGTGTCCCTAAGTGATGATATATGGGACCATAGTAAATGATTCAGACAGAAGTAAGTGTATTTCTAAAAAGAAACCAAACCTCAAATCCTCTAACTTTCAAGTGACAGTATGAGTGTGTAGTCACATACAACCAATTCTCAGAATCACCACTTTACAAAGCCTGGGAACCACTGCTGTAATGTCTGACAGCTACTTATAACTATTAAATTAGCAACCATGTAAAGCACAAGGTTTTGTAGTGCACAGAAGTAAATATTTGAAAAATACCTAATAAAAAAAGCAAACTGTATAGGCTATCATTACTAGGCTTTTAATCCCCAGAGAAAGAAACCTTATGCACTTACATTTCATCATCATATTCCTTTGGAGGTGATGCTGCAATGACTAAGTCAATCCAATCCTGAAAAAGAAACACACAGGCAAATGTGCTGCTTTTAGAGGTGGCTAGTGGACCACAATGGAATGTCAAACAGAAAATCAGGGGGTCAATCTATTCCTGGAAAACCACAGGGAACAGCTGAATGATCTCTATTAAAAACTTCTATAGGAAGACAATTTAAAGATTGAACTGCTTTATTTGTATCTCAAAATTCTAGAAAAATCTGCAGTTCCTGCAAAAAGGTCTTAAAAATAATTATTCTAAGAATCATCCTGTATTTGGTCATCTCAGCAATTAATACAGCTCTCCCTGAGAAAACACTCACTGTAGCTGAAGCACAGTGTTACTTGTATATCAAGAAATCAAAGATAAGCTATTATCAGAAAATTCCAATCAGCTTGCAAGTAATTTTCAATATCAAAGGAAGATTCTACAGATAAACGTACTATAAACACTCAGAATGCAAGGTGTTTAAAACCTTGATATGTGGCTAAATGCCATGAAATTTCACAGTAAATTACATGCTTGATTTTCACAGATGCTACAATATCCTCTGCAGATTGCAACTCACTTTGGTAGCACCATGACATACCTGTTACTTCTCATGTTCACAACCAATGTCATGATAGAAAAGTACCTCTCATATGAGCAGTATAGGGAGAATTAAGAAGTATTCCAGGTTACTTACTCCACCCATGTTCCAAGCTTTTGCTAGAGTTGCTTGTGCTTCTGCCAGCTTGCTGTCAATTAATATCTTGCCATTTACAGCCAATATTTCATCCCCTTTCACTATGCCTCCTGGTGAAAAGATCAGTATGTTACATATGCACTTAAGCAAAAACATTATGTAGTATTTTCTGTCCCACATTTATGCAGTAGAGTATAATGAGATGCTCTTTACTAGATGTGAAGCTTTACACTAAAAATTGACACAGGCAAGAAAGTTTGCTCAAGCAAAAAGCTAAAGGAATTTTAGGCATGGCAAAGCCCCACTAAACTCTTGTTGAACATGACCAGAAAGAAATTAGTTCAGTAAGACTTCCATCTATACAGTTCACAAACTGTGGCTGACTACAGCTGTTCCTGATATGAAAATGGCAGAAATGCTTAAATTCTTGAAGGTCTAAGGTGGCCTCTGTCAAGGGCTTTCAGGACTGTCATTCCTCTGCAAATGCATGTGTAATGTTTAGTCCTTAGAACTGATTTTGACTTGCTAATCTGGAATGAAGCACTATCAGCTAACTGGGACTGGATTTGAAGAGAGAAAAACACAGATGGTAAGGGGTCAGCCTTAGCTATGAGACACCTACACATAGTAAAGTCAAAGTCAAACAAAGTACTTAAGAGATCAATTGGCTAAGAGGTTTTCACAGGAAGAGTGACTTGAACTTAGGTGGAGACTGGGACAATGTCAGCAAATACAGTGCAGGGAGATATTGCCCTTTCTGTCTACCTGATCATTTTGGGAGTAAAGCCAGCTGCTCTACAGGACTAATTACTATTGAAAGTAGCATAGAGAATAAAACTAAGCAGTGTAGTGTAGCCATAGTCAGGTAATTGCTTGGCACATAGAAGTACTACAAATGTCATTGTTTGGAAATTGTGAATAATAGAGACCATATTCCTTGATTAACAGAACACACTGGAGAATCAGGTGTTGGCTTTTAGAAATTTTACATAATTATTAATTTAAGCAGAACTCTTGAAACCTGAAGTCTCTCTCTGGGCTGCCCTTAGAGGGGTATAGAACTTGGTTCCTTGGGCAATCTAAGTACTAGGCATACCTATGAAGTCAGCCAACAACTCTCAGCTGGCATAAGAAGCCACTCTGCAGCAGCATTCAAATTCCCCTTATCTGCTCACCATGTTTGTCTGCAGCACCATCCTCATAGATGGCAGACACAACTATCTTGCCAATTGGAGAATCTATTCCTCCCTCGACTGCAAGGTCCAAGGATCCTTCCTACGAGAAAACAGTTTTAGTTTGCCATTTACAGGAGTTTAATCTTTCCTTCTTCCCACTAAATGAGACTGTACATCAAATGCTTACATGAACCCTTTAAATAACGATCCAACAATAGAGTATTTACCTTTTTAATTCGTAATAGTCGTACATCTTTTCCTATAATCTGGTCTGGGGAAAACTATGAAAAGATATAATGATTAGTCATTTCCAGTTTGGAAACACAAAACAATTAGGCTTATCTATGTAGTTTCTAGGAGAAAAGGGACACCTCCCTCCACTAAAATAGTGTTAAAGGAAGATCAGAAAACCAGATCATCTTTTCCTGTGAGAACACTCCTTTTCAACATGACCAGGTAAGACAAATACACAAGGCCCAGCAAACCAATAAGCAAGAATCTTACCCCCTCCCAGACTCAAAATCAAGGATTTGTTTTTTCCCCAGTGTATTTCATACTAAACAGTGAGGCATACTTGAATTCTCTCCTTACCATTGAATATGGATCAAAATCTTCTACATACTTCTGGAAGCCCTGAGAATAAAACAATATTTAACTGTAGAAACATCAGACTTATATGCACAGTAAACACACAAACTATTTATTATTATTAGTGAGAACTCTATTTATTATTAGTGAGAGAACATACAGCTCTGTAAGCTATGAAGGAAGACAGTAAATGGAGAAAAGCTGAGAAGACAGGAGAGAGTCCATCCTGACAGTCAGAAGACATTTCAAAACATCATGTCAGATCAACAGTTTGAGCTGTCATACTGTGGAGCAGTTGTGATGAAGAGTTTGCCACTCTGGCAGCTCCACAGTTTCTCTCTATACCTGACAGAACAGAAACAAAACTTGAAAGCATCATGAGCAGGTATGTTCTTGGGCAATGTTTCTTGGGATTATCACCATGTTGGACCCTAACAGGCAGAAATGACAGGCTCCAATTCACCTGTCAGCAACACTACTCCACACTGCCTGGGTTTTAGGACTCTTTTCAGTCCCTTTCTCTCCTTGCCATGGAGTTTCATGGAGTTGGCTCCATACCACAAGCAAATGCAGGACAACAATCAATTTTTGTTTTTATATGGTTCTGTGAAGGACTTAAAAGCTTTGTCAGGGAGTGTCTGAAATGTGGAAGATTATACTGTAGTTAGGCAGAGCAAGATTTAAGCTTTGAGATGACCCAAAACACCTAGTGCTTGCCCCTTGTCAGACCCAGTCTGCAGGGAAAAGCAAGAGTTGCCTTTTCTGCAAGGATGTGATTTCCTACATCAGCAATCAGTATTCAGTGGCATTTGAGTAGTGGTTTGTTGAGGAGGATTGGTAGCTACCAGCTGAGACTGTTTGGCCAATGCTGGAAATTTACAAAAACTCTGCACTTATCCTGTATGTTAAAGGACTTAAGTAATTAATAGAAATCTTTACTGAGGCACCTAGATGCTGTATCGCTGTTGTGGCCTCAAGCTGCAACAACGTGGGGACAGCAGAACAACGTAGAACCACACAACCCTTTGCTGACACAGCAGGCAAGTCAATATCCAGTGGTTCAGTGTGTGATCCAGCTTGATATATTCGTTATTACCCTCTTTTCTCCTGGATCCATTTGATGACAGTTTAGTCCATTCCCAGACTCAGCTAATCCTTTTCCTACTTGAAAACCAAACACACAGCTTAGGGTTCCTCTGGTATATTTAAGGGCTGACTGTTACATGGCAAAGTTGCAGCAGCAAACACTACTGCCTCCTCTGCTATACTCTAGATCACTTCTCTTGGTTGCCTAATTTTGACATGACTATGAATGATTCTCTGGGGTCAGATCTCATCCTTGACAGCACTGCCTGTCACAAAGTCAAGGAACACTACTGCACAGGTCTACATTAGCAGACCCTCAAATGTACAAAGGTGCTGCCTCTTTGTCTCACCACACTTAAACAGATGACACAATATTGATGGCAATGACTGTTGTGTGGCCTGGCAGTCATTACACACAGGCACACTGAATCATACAGTGTGGACTCTGGCTTTCCTTGGCTGCCTCTCTCTTTTCCTTTTCCCTGAGACAAGCTTAAACAAATCATGCCCTCGACGTGTGTTTCTTCTGAGGCAGAAGAAACATTTGCAAGGGTTGAAGCATGACTTTATCTCCCCAGGCTCCAGAGAGCAAAATCTTTAGGGCACAACTACAGAACTTTTGCTTACTATCACAAGTGTTATGTTTGGGCTTTTCTTTCTTAGGGAAATATGCAATAAATGTATCTTTTGGGAATAAGAACACCAGACACATTATTTAGCATTTAAATTCAGGGTTACATTACGTTTGTTTACTGCTAACTTTGAGGAACTGAATAAATGGGAATTTGATCACAGACATCAGCAAGGGTAGAATTTCATCCTGGAGTTAAAAACCCAATCATTCATTTAATTACAAAGTGTATTAGTATTATGAACAATTTAACTAAAATGGCAAGAGAGATATTTTACCATGATAGGTACCTGAACAACTAGTACTTTGAACAACTGAATTTGCATTGCCCTTTGGAATTGTGGCTGAAGTAGACATCTATGGTCTTGGAGCAAGCAACTTGAAGAAAAGAACTCCAATCTCAGCCAAGTCACTGACTCATTATGTAATCTAAAGGAAGTCAGTGAACTCTTCATCCCAGGTCATGAAAAACAGATGTTGCCCTTGAAGAAAGCTTTCCTGGGAAAACAATTTTGAAACAGGAAAAAAACCCAAACCAAACCCAAACCCATGAAACCCCACAACAAAAAAGCCCTACAAGCAAAGTCATAGAAACAAAATATCCTGAGTTGGAAGGGACCCACCAGGATCATTAAGTCCATTTCCTGGCCCTGCACAGGACAACGCCAAAAATCACAGCATGTGCCTGAGAGCATTGTCCAAGCTCTTCTTGAACTCTGTCATGGTTGGTGCTGTGACAACTTCCCTATGGAGCTGTTCCAGTGTCCAAACACCCTCTGGGTGATGAACTTTCCCCCAATATTCAATCTAAACCAATCCCAACACATCTTCATGCTGTCCCCTAAGGTTCATGCTACTATGATATCAGAGATAAGATCACAACATAGCTAGGATAGAATGAAGACCTCCACTGAACTATAATAAATGGGCATTGCAAATCTGGAGATCAGAGAGTACACTCCATATCCAAGCAGGGACTAATGAAACAAGCAACACTGGTGGAAACCACATTCCTAGGCCTATCACCTCACTACATAGGTTTGTTCAGGACCATTCTAACTCCTTCTTGGCCTACAGTAACATTTACAGGACCGAACATAAGTTGAATCTGGAACATTAAAATGTTTGATGGCACTGAAACAACTCTGTCTGGACCTAGATGAAAGGTAAAGTTACTACTTAAATTAAAAACAACCCCCAAACCCCAAAACACAAGCACCTAAACCAATGGTACTGCTCACCAGTTTCCAGCATCAATAGTCAAGAGTAATTGAGACCTGACTGAAATACACAAAAAAAACCCCCTCAAAAACCAACAAAGGAAAAGAATTGAAAGAGAAATTCATGGTCAGATATAACAAAAATTTCCATAACACCAGATCTGTTGAGAACACAGCTGTAATATTCAGAACATACTGACATTCAATGGCAACTGAATAATCTCAAAGTTGGATTTTTCTCAGTCAAATCCAGTTTTACCTTTTAGATCTAGATTGAAACTAAACAGAACAAGAAAAAAAATCATTAATCTTAATACTTTACCACCCAAAAGCTCATGCTGTGAGCTCACTACTCTGTGCCAACTCTTTCATCTAAGAAGGTAATACATCTAACTTAGCTTGCACTAACAGGTGTTTTGCAGAGAAACATTTCACAGCAGCAGAGAAATTAAGCATGACTTCTTCCAGGGAGCATCTATTGAACTACCAGTCAACCAAAGAGGAAGAGATGAAAACTTCATCACTATGACAGAGGAAAACAACAAAAATAATAATATAGTGGGGAAATCCTACACAATACAGAAAGGCTGTATGAAAAAGTGTATTCCACCACAAGTTCCTCTGATTTCCTACCAATAACTATGCCATAGTAATGTCTCTATTTATTAAAATAATACAATATTGTATTACTGAAAGCATTGCAACAGGAGACTAAAAGAAACCAGGAAACCTCAGGAATATTAACAGAAAGTAAAATGCCAGTATCAGATTGAGTTGACAGTGTTCAACTATATTAAAGGCTGCACTTAACTGTATAAGTAGTTACAGATGGTTCAACCTGAGGGATTTACTATCCTCTCATTCTTCATCCATCAAGACTAGCAGGAGCCACAGGCATACACTTAAAGCTTACAAAGACTAGCAGTTCTCATGCACTAGATCTGTCTTGCAACTTTCGTTTTAGAAACTGAGCAACAGGATTAGAAAGGAAAGTTTTAAATCTATGATTAGTCAAAACAAGAAGTACCACACAAAACATGGAAAATGTTATTTTACTTGGTTTTTGTTAGATCTAAATGATGAATTGTAAACCACCATCCTTTTTAACATCTCTTGTGGCTGCAAAAGAAAGAAAATTCCCAAACCACGTATTAACTTTTTGCTGTAAATAAGCATCACCTACTCATAAATTAAATTTCACTGCTTATTTTGCTCTTCTAGGGACTCAATCACACTTGCACATATTAGTGCTTGTCCCGTGTCATTTCAAAATGAGAGAACGCACACAGTGAAATATTACTGAATGCAAAGTGGAAAGAATTCTGGAGAAACTACATAAATTATGCACATTTCCATACTACAAGATTTCTTACAAATATTTTCCATGACTCTTTTACACCTCATTTCTACAAAACAGTGCTTGGGTCTCTTATCCATGATTTATGAAAAAATCATTGGAAAAAAACCCAACCCAAAATATTGAAAAGTCATGATAAATATATGTCTATTATGCATTTAAAATTTGCTTTCCTACTGGGGATTTCCTACACGAAAAAGATGAATTCTATTACTGAATTCCATTACCAATTTCCTTATGAAGCTGATAAGCTGAAAGATGAGATAGATGTATTTGGGCTTATCCTGACTAAATACCAATCACAAGTACAGGTTTATTCTATTTAAAGAAAAATTCCTCATGAATTTAATGGAATTATTTCTGAGTCATCTTGTTTCAAGTAGGATATCTACAAGTAGTTTCACTATATGGATTAATAACTGATGGATTTTAGTGTATTGGTTGGGCTTCAAGAATTTAAATCCCATATTCATCATGTTTTTCTTTCAGTTCCACTGCTCTAACAAAATGGTACACTGTGGAATCACTTAAAATACAGAATCTCTTATTAGGTTAAAAACTTTTCAAAAATGAAAGGGGCTAAACCCCCAAATAATTATACAAAACACTCCTCACACCTCTCCAGCCTCCACTCAAAACCCTGCAGAAAACCACATAATGTATTTGATTCTTCTGAAACAAGAACAACTTCCTACAGACTCAACTATGGTTACACTTTCAAACTCAATTTGATGTAGAACAAATTACTATGTATCAGTTTCACTATGGATTCTATCAGTGTCTTGTAGCCATACTAGTACTTGAAAAAATATGTTCCAGAGTTAATGAAATTTTTGTGGTTTGCATTTAATGAATACAAAGTATTAGTTTTTTGTCTTGAAGGAGTTGTGGGCAAGTTTGGAAAGATTTTCCACAAATCTCTTCATATCCCTTCTAAAAAAAATAAATTTCAATGTCAACACAAATTGTTTGGGTGTAAAACACAAACAAATTGTTTTGGTATAACTACCACCAGTAGTAACTGAAACTTCCAATCCTCACACATTTTGCCACACAGTACCTAAGCACCTGTCTTGACTGCAGTACTGCAGAATCAGGCTTCAAACCTTGCAAATTAGAGGAAAGCTTAAATATTCATGGTTTTCCTTTCATCATCCAACCCCAAAGGAGTGAGGAGAAATCTTTAGTAGAAGTAAGTGTATCAAAGCCTTCTTACTAACAGAACAGGATGTTTGTTATAGATGGGAGAGCAGAGACTAATGGTCGTGTTGGTTTTGCTTCTCTGAAAACCTCACCACTAAATAAAACAATCCTCTCCTGTTCTCTGAGCCAAAATTTAATTAGCTTTGCTATGAGTGTATTCCAATTCATTCTAGTACAGCAGAGACAAACAGTTCACACTGATTTTGACCCAGAGAAGCCCTTGGCATTCAAGGCCACACTCAAGGTTTAATCATCTCCCATCATTTCCCTATTTATAAATGAGAACAATTTCATTTTCATCAGCTGTTAAAGGACCTGAGAATACTGGCCTGAATGTAGTTAATAAGATGACTTAAGTTACAACAGACACTCTCTGGCCCAAATACCTTCCAGATAACAGGAATGTTTTACCCATTCTTTGCATGTCTATTTTATTCTTATGTGCATGGTTTTTCATCTCCTTCGCTAGTGACTCGCTTGAGTATAAGTCAACTTGATTAGCTGTTTGAATCAAGTAAATCCATCAAGATCAGCTTCTAGAGTTTGGTACTCAGTACAGTTAAATTCAGGCAAAAGCAATGTAGAAGATATGAGTGCATTATGTCATATTAAGACATAAAGGCTGGAGTTCCATAACGTATGTGAAATCATTAGACCTCATTAATGTATTCAAGGACATGAATGCAAAGTGCCAAGATGATGGATCAGACTCTTCTCACTGGTGAAAACCAATAAAACAAGAGGTAACAGCAAAACCTGATGCACAGGAAGTTCCACCTGAATATGAGAAAACTTCTTTCCTGTGCAGTCACTGAGCACTGAACAGATTGCCCAGAGAGGTCATGGGTTCTGCCTCACTGGAGGGATTCAAGCACCATCTGGATGCAATCCTGAGCCATGTGCTTTAGGGTGGTCCTGCTGGAGCAGGGAGGTTGGACCAGATGACGCACCGTGGTCCCTTTCAACCTAACTGATTCTATGTTTCTGTGAAATATAGCAAGACAAGAAATAGGGTAGCAAACAATACTTTGCCTTTGGTGAAAATTCCCCTTGCAAAGAGAAGCTGAACAGGTCCTGTATCTGAACAATGAACTTATACATGGACACACACACACTCTCCACCCCCACCCCACCAACTGAAAAACATCCCTTCTGCATGAACTCAAATGATAATTTTTATACACTTCTGGAGACAGGCAGGTACTGTCTTGTCTGTTTTGTCACACACTGGCCTTTTTGTTTTTAACTAAACTTCCCTCTTTACTTCAGTATTTGTGCAAGTTGCACTTTACATACTACATGCTACTTTGTCGCAGCAAGTATGAATAGTCTTAACTGCATTGAGCAATAAATCCTAAGCAAGAGGTATCAGGTCTACAAAACCAATTTATAGACTGATCTTTCTCTCAAAGTCCTATCAGAATATTGCTCCTACTGAAATTTTGATCTTCCCACAAATGTAAGGCACTTTGGGAATGAACATGATTGACATCTCAAAGAGTTTAGCAGGCTTGTGATTCGGAAAATGTGCATGCATGCATAACAAATCATATGACATTTCCCTATGGAGGTGGATCTTATTGCCAGTTTCTCAAACTAACTGTAAGTAGTGAGTAACAAAGCAAAAGAAAAAAAGGGACTTTTTAATTCTGTGCCAAGACTGTCTGATCACACATAAAAGTGTTACCGATTTTGTAAACAAGTTTACATGTGCAGTTTTTCAAGCCCTACATTATATTAACTGCAGGTTATGACAGTAGTCTGTTCATTCCTCTCCTAAGGAATTTCATATTGCTTAGACATGCTGAATTTCTGAACACAATCAAAATGAGAGCTCCAACTGGAGGAAACATCTACACTGTAAGGATCTGAAATCATTTGTAGTTCATGCACCTGCCTTCTCTTAAGCAACTTATAAAAAATGCTTCAATTTACCCTTCAATGAATTTCTAATACAGATGTTTGAAGATGACTATGGCTGTGGGAAAACTGGTTACCTAAGTATCACTTAAATAGGTTCCAACTGTGACTGGGAAAATAAAGGAACAAGAATATCTAAATTATTAAAGCAGAAAATGACAAAAAATCCATTGTGCTTTAATGAAACACAGCCAGGAATATTATGCACAACATTTATGGCCAGAAATAGTAGAAGCTTCTGACTAAATAAATGAAATGCAATGTGATGGCTTTTCCATCGCTTACTGCCTTGCTCATCCAAATGGACATATGCACACATGCCCACACACATGCATGTAAGAAACACACTAATACTAACAGCATAAATCATGACAACCCTCAAGAATAAATACTACTAATAGGTATTTTAGGCAAATTTTTAGGTCTGCCAATTTGGGAGTTGTCACCTGTCAGAGCAGTATTTCTCTTTTTGTGTTCAGTAAGCTTTGGCTCATCATCCCTCATACATTGCAATTCCCAAAGATGCTACACGTTGGTCCTAAAATATTGAGTCCAATAGTTTTCTTTTTACTTACACTTGAAACAGAAATAGAAAACAAATAGGAAAAAGAATGTGATTGTGAGTCAACTTTGCAATAACACTGCACGACCAGTATATTGGGCGTCTCATGTGACAACACACTTTTTTTCTCTGGAAATCAAATGATATATATATAAATGCTGAAATGGATATGATAATAAATTACATAATGAGGTATGTATCTACATTTCAAGTGTGTTTATGACTATTTACAAAAGAAAAATACAATTGAATTAATTTTTATTACTTCATTTCTGACAAATTAATTTAGAATTTATAAAAATAAAACCAAGCATGTGATACAAGATAAATAAGTTATACACTGTCCTACACTGCTCTGCAATTATGGACCCCAGCACAAAAACTGCCACTAAAAGTAACTCTGAGATCATGGGAAAAAATGGAAAAATACCCTTTTATACTTACCATTAGCGATCACTGGAAAATCTACATGAATTTTAGTTAGCAGAAAATGAGATAAGCATTGATTCTTTGAGGACATGTCAAAAACAAACCCCATAATGCTGCAGCAGTCAGAAAAAGAAGATGAAAAGGCTTACCAGGGCCTCTGATTTGATTGTTGGCCTGACTACAACGTTTGGGTCAGGATGCAGCATAACTGGTTTAGAGACTATTGGTACCCCTGGATGACGCTGTGTAGGTGGACTTGGAGCAAGTTGCTATGGAGTTAATTTAAGAAAATTACAAATCACAACATAATTTGTGCAAATTCATCATTTCACTGAGAGGCCTCAATTCAAATAGTTTATGGCAATGAATTTAACACACTGATACAAGGAAAACCTTACAGAATTATTTTACCTAAGGCTTACAAAGTCAACAAACCGAAACATAATTTCTCTTGCAACCAAATAATAGCTTTTCCCCTAAACTCTGGCTTCACCAGCAACATTATGGAAAAATCTCAGCCCTGCTTTTGGCATTTATCCCATAAAGGCAATGAACTGAATGAGAAGCTACAGGAAAAAAGTGAACGTGAAATAAGATTTTTCACTAATCTATGACTAACTAGATCCTTTAGGATGAAATTCACCAGGACTGCAGTGATCAGCTTTACATAGAGAACTCCAAGTCAACCTATCTTGACTTAACAGCAAGAGGTTAGTTAGGGCAATTACCTACCCTTGACTCCACAAAGTACAGATACCGAGAGGCATCTGAGACCTAATCGTGCAGCACGTGCGAACCCAGTTCTACACTTCTTACTCAGCCAAAGCTCCCACTGACGTCAAGAATAGTTTTATTCATGAAAAAAGTTCAAAATTGAGCCCTGTGGGTTCAGTTCCTTACTTGACCCCAGCAACTCTTAGCACACTTTTCTCAATGTTTCTCATAGGAAATGCGATGTATTCCAGATATCATTCATATAGTACAAACTGTATCCTCTGAAATTATTTATTTGCTTCCAGCAAATTGTTTAAGTCACTTTTTTTTTTTTAATAGTGGATTTTTTTTTCTTTTCCTTTTTTAATAATTTCAGAAAAAAAACTTTGAAACCAGATATTTGAAAGTCCCTGTGGACATCCCTCAACTAATGGTGTTCCACACTGCAATATATAATGTTATGCTTTCTGATCTTAGAAGAATCAGAATCAACAGGTTCACAAATACCAACTTGTTCAAGCTGCACTGAAACCAGATTATTTCTCCTGGAGATGAACAATTTAGCAACAGCTTTTTCTAGAGTGCAGAATGAGGAAGGAAACCTGACATCTGGCCACCCAGACTCAAAATCAGTGCTCAAAGGCTATCAAACACATTTAGGTTCTTCTGAGACCAAACTTGCTTAGCACCTATTATGTTTAAAATATAGTTTTGCCCTAGCTCTTTTTGCTTTGACAGAAGAACAAAGTACATGCTCTATTACATACAGACATCCAGACTACACCAACTTGGAGTATGTGTTGCTAAATGCTGAAATATCACATCCTCAGACCATGAGGAGTCAGTTCCACTACCTGGTATTAAGCTGCTTGTAACACAGCAATGGATCCACACACATAATTCCAAGTGCTGAATTTTAAATAGATTAGCCATGCCGAGTCAAACCCTTGAGATTAACATTCCATGGGAAGTCCATAAAACTACAGTCATTATTAACAGTACATGACATACCAGCGGATTGCTTGACACAGGAGATACTTTGCCAGCGTGGGAGGTGTTTCTTACAACCTAAACAGTAATAGACTTAGTACTGGGTTCATATAAAGTGTAAAGATAATAATAATTTTAAGAAACAGGCAATTTATACCAGGTAATTTAATAGTTGCTTGTCAAGAAGGTATTTGACAGGATTTCATTCCTTTTGTCAGGTATTTGTTTGAGCTGAATTGCAAATTAAATGATCTAGGGGAAAGCCCAAAAACTTAGCAACACAGAGAATATTTACCAGTTTGAGTAATATTAGAAAAGTGAACTTTTGGGACAACTAGATTTGCCTTATTTTTAGGCTTTATCAGGCATAAGCACAAGATGTTTAATCCATGAAATCATATAACTGTACTGCATCCACTTATCTGTGGTGTTAAAAATCAACTTTGTAAAATGTAGCAAGGATAAATTGTTAAGCTTCGAATTTTTCTTCCCTTTCTGAAACCATATCAGGAATACTGAGTTATATGCTTATAAACAAAGCAGTTTTGGCTCAGTATTAATATTTTACTAAGAGTCTAGCTATTTCCTCATATACACTATTAGATTCAGTGAAAACTGACATTAATTTTGAAGGCTAGTTTATTTGTTATTACCTAATACATTTTTCTTATTTAGTAAGTTCTTTTCTCTGACATACCTAGTAGTGAAAAACTGCCAGCAACACGTATGTTGAGGTCAGATCCAATATGGCAGTTCCTATATTGCTTCCTCTATCTGAATATTTTCTACTAGCTTTAGATGAGTATATTTCCGCTCTCCACACTCACTTTGTGCACTTATTGTTATTTCGCATCATTTTTATTTTGCAAATAACTTGGGAAAACCTGTTATCCATAAAAGCATTTGACATTTCTTAGCATATTCTTGGCACTTCAAACATATAAACCACATATATCAAGCAGGATTGGAGGTCTACTGAATTTTTCAAGAAATTTGTAGTTCATAGAATCGTCAAGGTTGGAGGGAACCTCTAAGACCATAAAGTCCAATCATTAACCTGCCACTGCTGTAACATTAAACCCTAAACCAGATCCTCCATTGCCAGATCCCGACACCTCTTATACACTTCCAGGGATGGTGACTCCACCACCTCCCTGGGCAACCTATTCCAGTGCCTGAACACCCGAACAGGGAAAACATTTTTCCTAACATCTAAGTTCACATAAGGACAATTATTAAGATAGAAATGACCTACCAGTTTCCCCTGAAAAGTAATTGACTTGCATATCCTTCTCCACCCAGAATCATGCAAACATAAAACCTAGTATTTCCAAGTATGCATGCAAAAAAACCTGAAAAACCAACAATGCAGTCAGTCAACCCATGCAGAAAACTGTGTAGGAAAGAAGTGACCATATGGGATCCTTTTCTGCCATGCATGCAAGAAGTTCAACCAGATTACCAACTCTTGCTTCTCTGTTTTACTGGCAATTTATACAGTTTTGATCTTTTAAAAGTTTGAGCTCCTGATTTTAAGTCAATTGTCTTTGTCCACTCTTCTCACCTAAAAAAGCAATTCGATGACATATTCAAAACACTCTCACAAGTCATTTTCAGCCAAGTTTCTTTGTCCACTCTTCTCCTCTAACAAAGCAATTTGATGACTTATTTTAAACACTGTCACAAGTCATTTTGACTACACAAATATTTTTCTCAAATGTAATATGTTGAGTGTCATTGCTTTTTTTTAAAAATCTTTAAACATTCAAGTCCAAATTCAATAACCTCCATGCTCCCACTAACAATTTCTGTTAAATTTGGAGAGCTTACATAAAGGCCTGATACATTCTGCCTAAGAAACCTGCATGTGATTGGGTTACAATGTATGTAGAGAGTAAAGCAGAATCTTCTTGACCTAAATTTAGAAAATATTAAAATAAAACTATTTCTGGACTGCATTCACTACTAACAAACAACAAAACCATCTCATTCCCTCTTTTAACATTACACATGGCAGATGAGTAGGTCCAGTGGGCAAAGTGGGTGACGGATCAGGAGGAGGAAGCAAGCAGGGAAATGGTAAAGGCTCATGCGTCCAAACAGATCACGAGGTCACCTGGGTAGGTGGTGTTACCGACAGGGTTGGACCTCTTGCAGGTGGAACATCTGAGGTAGGAAGTGGAGGAGGTGGTGATGCTGGAGTAACAGTGGGGGGTGGTGGCAGAGGTGGTGGTGCGCGTTGTTTAGGCTTGTCAACTTCATCTAAGTTTATATCATCGAGATCTGTGGTATGAAGCTGCAGGCCACCGGCAAAACGCCGCATTGATGTGGCAGAAGGAGGACGTCCACTTGCCAACTATGTGCAACAGAACAGAAATCTGGCTTCACAGTTCTGCCTGAAACAGTCCTGAGCAGTTAATGGCCAATCCTAGAACACCACTCAGCCTATCTGCTCCTATACAGGAAGCTCTTGGCTTGTCCCACATGGAATATACAAGAACATTTTCTCTGAAAGCCTTTTTAAAAGCACTCCTTGCAATTCTAGTTCAAAAAGAAGAAAAACAGGAGCACTGTGACAGTAGCCTTGGCTGTTGGGGTAGAGGGCATGACAAAAGAAATCCCAGAAAACCCCAACAACATGAAATCTTCAGAAGGTGAAATTTTCAGAAGGTAAAATCACAGAACAAATAGCAGATAACACACCTCTCTACCCTCTCTAGCTCTTATGAAGAGAAAGCAAGAATTACTTCTTGCAAAGTTGATTATCTGAAAGGAAGTATTCAAAGACAGGCCCTGAACTTCTATGCCATTAAAAAGGGAAAGGGGTTAAAGCCATGTAAACATAACCACACATTAATACAGGAAAGTAAACTAAGCTTAAGCAGCTATCAAAATAAAAAGTCTAGTGTGCTATGAAATTCAGATCCTCAAGGGGGTTGAGATTTAATAATTTCTGTTAATCCACACCAGAACTATTATTGTCTTGTACCCAAGAAGCAGTTCAAGCCTGTAGTTCAGATGCATTTACCCCTCAGAAGCACTCAGGATTTGTGGTTTACATGAGTTTAAGTGCTTGGGTAGTTTTGTAGAAAATTTTAATAGACCATTTATATATAATGTCATAGAAAAATTGATGGAGCAAATACAATACACAGAGTGCTTGTTTTAAATCCAGGTAGAGCTCTGGAAATACAATCATGTTTGTAATGTGTAATGTTACTTTTTTACTTTACAAAGTAAGGGGGACAAAGTTCTAGCAGAACACAAGCAGCCAAGTTTAGGTATTGAGAGAAAACTCAGCATAATAATTTCAGCATCTTAAGAGACTGAAATGCCACATGGATCTGAGCCTAGGGTCAGGAAGAACTGAAGATCAGCTGCTTTTTTTCAGAGCTGCTCCATGTTGACCTGAAGGAAATCATGTGAGAGTGTTCCCCAAGGGTCCCTTTTGTGGTTGCAATTTCTTGGGGATCCCCCGGGAGTTCAGCAGATTGCAGTGTTCCTCTTGAAAGCAGCTGTACTTGGAAGACAGCCAGAGCAGCAGGATGGTGGGAAAGCCTCACTCCACATCTAGAACAATCAGGCTCTACAATCACTATCTGCAACTCCCCTAATTTAAGGGGACTATTTAAAGCACAAACCCAAACCCCATTCTTTGGGACTTTCTTATATTTTTGTAATTTTCTTAACCTGTGCCTTTATTCCCAACAACACAAGGAAGCATGCAAGAGCTCATCATGTTCTTATTTTTATAAAATACTAATAAATATGCCTGGGTCTCAGATTTGCTATTTATAGCATGTTCCACCTAGCTCATGCCCCAAATTGCTCATGAGGCAATAAACCTGTTAATTTTGTGGTGATAATACACTTTAAAAGGATAAAATAAAACCAGTTAATTAAAATAATTTTTGAATCTTCATAAAATACAGAAACAGAAAATGGTATAGGTTGTAATTCATCAATTACTGACTTTTCCCTCTCTTAGAATGAAGGCTGAAAGGGAAAGAAAAAGACAGATTTTTGTCTGGTATAAACCTGTTGCTTTTATGAGACTAGTGAGTGATTTAGAATTCATGCAATATATGGAAATGCCAGAATTTTACCTCAGGAGACTCATTCTCCACAGAGGAAATCTGTTCTAACCGTGTTTGACAAAGTCTTTCCACCCAGTGCTGCACCTTTTCTGATTCTTCCAGGTCTTCTCGTTCTGTCTCAGATACCTTAACCATAACATCGGTGCATGAGAAAGGTTATAGGTATGGTCACGATAAAAATATATTCCAGAAGTATGAAATTCCATTTAAACTACTTTTAAAAATATTTATGCTTTTGAGAATTATTTCCTATTTTGCTGTCTTTCATTAAATTCATCACTATTCATGGACACTCATTAACTGCTGGGCAAAAACTGACTGGAAACAAGCAAATGTGGAAACAAAGTTTTGCAGTGAAACAGCTTTTTAAATTTCATCATCTTGGACATAATAAAACAAGATAATTCTGCTAAAGATCCAGCTCATTTTCTTTCAATATAGTTTTGCACTTGATAGGAGAACATGACATACCTCTTGCACAAGACGATTTATTTTCAGTTGTTTCTCTCTCTCCAACATTCCTTCTTTCTCTTTGGCAAGTTTTTGCTCAAACTCCATTTCCTTTTTATTCTTCTTTTGTTCACACAGACTGTCACTTTTTGACTTCTTTTGCTCTTTCCCCTTCTGGGAAGTTTTGGTGGGTTTGAGGTTTTGGTGGTTTGTTTGGTTTTATTTTTTTTTTTTAAGTTAAACAGAGTTTTACATCAGCTAAAATCATCACAAACTTCAAGCTTGGTACATGAGTGTCTGCCTTGAAAATTTAATTACAGTCTGTGCAAGTATGGGGATAGTCTTTTACAAGAGAATTTAAAGTCTATTTCGTCAGCAATTTGCAGGAAATTCAAATTTGAATTTGGAGGGCCTGTGCACATTAACATAAGATAGACAAGATCAGACAGTTCAACTTTTTTGCTCCTCTGCAAAGATACAACATTAGGGCACAGGCCCACTACAAAACTTGGAGTATTCAAACAGTTTTGGTTCGGTTTTGATTTGCCATCTCTCTGCTTTGGCATATTTTTATATAACTGAGTGCTTTCAGATGACAGATGCTCATGTATAGGTAGATGTGAATAGTCTGTGCATAAAACAGCTTCATGCATATGCCCTAAACCCAGCATTGCATCCCTTAATAAAACTGAAATGAGCAATTATGAAGGAAAGGCTTAGATCAGTGCAGAAACTGAATTGCTTTCAGGAAAGAACACTGCATCACAAAGGCCACATAGCTCCTACAAGCACTGGATAAAACTGCTCAGATGAGTCAACTAATACAGCACAAAGCAACTCTAAAATTTTAGAGACAGAGTGCAACTAAAGGGAAAAGCTACATAGCCTTTTTGAAGCCTCTGTTCCTGTTGTCTTTGAAACACACCCTGCTCCTTATTCTACTTTAATGATGTCACACTTCTGCTACCCTTTCCCATTGGTGAAGGTAGGGCCTAGTTCATATTGAAAAGCCCATGTTCTCCTTTGATTTATGACAAAATAAAGCAGAGGAGCAGCTGATCACTTTGTGCCAATTACTGCCACTGCTGAGAAAGGCTATGCTTCAGGTTTGATTTTGTTCTGCTCCTCATCAGCAGCTCCTGCCTTTTCATGCTTTGAATTCCCAAAACCACCATGCTCTGCTTCACATTAAATAGCATTATTTGTCCTCCTTTCACCTTTTGCACATTGATATCGATAACAAAACCATGGAAAACAGACATTTTCCCTGGCAGCTACAAAAGCCAGTTCTCCCAGTCAAGTTAATTGGAACTTTGTACTGGTGATGTCAGTGGGATGCAGTCTACTGCTTCATGGTTATGTGTGGGAGCAGGGGGAAAAAGAGTAAAAAACCACAAACAAACCCCATAAACACTGGAGACAAAAACATTTAAGTAGAAACAGATAGCTTTTCACACTAATGTTTTAACATAAACCCAATTCAGTAGCATGTTTTATTCAAGGAAAATTAGTTTTTGCCTTAATAACACTTGCTGATATTATCCTTTAAAAACCTAAAAGATACATTTAGTACCACCTACTAAATGTAACATCAGTCAGGTCAACCTGCTAGATATCAACATTTGAAAAACTACTGAGTTCAAAGGCACACTAAGCAGCACACATGCCAAAATCTTCCAGAAGGTGAACATACATCATACTATCTGAGCTACATTCACTGCCTTCAGATACAACAGGATGATTCATCCTTTCCACCCATTTTCCCCATGGATTCAGTTACTTCCTATTGTAGACATTTTTAGCACAGAGTAAAATTTTGTTTTTGAAACAACACAAAAAAATTATTAACAATTTGGAGTGTGATCCAGATGTAAAATTATTTCTAAAAGCAAAAGAATAAAAATACAGCTTTACAAACTTCTAGTGCACACTGTGTGGTACAGTTCAACAGAAACTGGGTAAGATCTTTGTTACTATATGGAAAGGTATTTGGACACTGTAAACTATATTTGTCAGCAACAATATAAAAGATCACCTATTTGTGTGAAGAGACTGAGTTTTCATAACAAGTATTTACAGCTTTCAGACAGAAATCCCTCTGTAATGGCTTTCCCACAGGTTACAAAGTCATGATGATTTACACTCACCAGCAGTACAAAATGGTATCAGTGTCAGGTACTGACCACACAGAAGGTTAAATTAATAGTCCTAAATGGTGACAAAAGTACTTCATCTGTCACACAATCCTAACCTCCTCTGAAAACAGACACACAGAATCTTCATGACACTTCCACCACAGTGAATCACCAAAGAGACTCACCACCAAAGCACACAACACAACTGCAAACCCCCTATAATATGGCCAATATACATCGAATGAAATAAAGAGAATAAAGCAACAGCAAGAATAAAATATTTGAAATGCTGATAAATTGAAATTGCAATACTTTAGCAGCAAGTCTACAGACAGAAAAGTATTTTATCAAGCTAAAGGTGAAATGTGTTTTTGCTCATTTACTATGATGTACATGCCTAAAAGCCTTTTGCCTCCAGCTCTCCTGACTGACAGATTTGCAAAGGTATAACTGGGAACTGCAGACTTGGTTCCCACTGAATATTTGTCTCTGTACTGCATTGGGTTTATTTATACATACATTATTCTGAAGACTTTTGGAGAACATGAAGACATGCACTGATCCCCTGTAACAAACACCTTCTGCAAAGTATTGACATACAATTCCCACTGCAGCTGGCAGAACTTGAAAGTCTAAAGTATTTAAATGGGCAAACTCCTAGACACATGCATCCCAAACACATGGTAATTTGTGCACACATTAAAACGAGAAGCATTTTACTACAAAAAATGTCTAGGAGAAGAAGAAAAACAAGGAATTCAAATTCAAATACACAGCAATCAAATTTACACATCAAACTTTGTACCTTACGGATTGTGGGAAATTTTCCATCATACCGATAAAACCATCCAAAAGCTACAAAAGGTAAAGGAAAAGTTGGTTTTTGAAGAAAAGCCAAGGAATGGTTCATATTCAGATCAATCCACACTGATACATGTACCTGATGAAAATTTATTTGAAGGCGCAACACCAAAGTTTGGATATTATGACAAGTTCTTAGTCAGCTTCTTGGTAAGTTTTGCTAGTAGATTTAGTTATAGGTTCCCCTGACACAGATGTAATGTCAAACAAAGCAAATGCAACAAGTAATTTTCATACAGACATATGCAATGCTAAGATTTCTGTGGTCACAGTCCTACTGTACAGTAGTTTAAACAAGCCGCCTTAAAATGAAACAGGTATTCAAACTCATTCAAGCTTATGGCAGAACACTGACATTTGAGGAGACAAGAAAAATTCCATTTCCTAGGACAAAATATCTGAAGCCAAGTGCATAAATATTAAAAAAAATATTGCTAAGTAAAAGCATACAAAATCTGTTGCCATAATTTTATACAAGAAACACTGATAACACAGAGAGCTCTCAATATAATTTGTAGGATTGTTAGAATTCGTATCGGGGTATCTTTAGAAAGCAACAACAGCAGCAGTGTCAAAACCCTTGATCATTTACCAAAGGACTACACATTAGCCCTAGAAAACCCAAATGGTCAGTTCAGTGTCAAGGCTGACTGTCAGGAGGAAGTGAAACACAGGAAGAATCTGAGTCAGGATAGGAAGTTGAGGCTGAGTGGCAAACCTGTTTGTCTTGTTTCATGATCACTTCATCCATGTCATCTGTTTCAAGTTGGTTGTGTGCAACTCCTTCTAAATCTACTAAAGAAAGGAGGAAAGAAATGAGAAGACAGAAGTGACAGTCTAATGGGAGGTTCCTATGAAATGAAAAAGAGATCAGCAATGTGTGAAGTTTCTGTGAAATAAAATGTAGTTAGCAAGGTCCTGCTTAAATCAAATCAATTTCCAACCTTCTCCAATCCTGAAGAGCAGTTAGAATCTGCATGTGGACAATTAGTCTATTCTGTGATGAAAGGAAGCCTGCAGAGGTAGGTGGCTTATACTGTAATTAAGCCATCATTAGTTCTGGGATATGTGGCTTCAAATAGAAATATCAGCCTTCTATTGCACTGGCACTGAGGGAAATGCTACACAGAAAAAATACTATCTGGAAGAATCAGGAAAGTAAATGGATAAGAGATGATTTCAGTAGAAACATTTCCCCATCTCAGTGTCTTGCCTATGAAAAGTTAAGTGACTTCCCCAATGTCACACAAAAAATAACATAGTTGGGTTAGGAATTGATCCAGGACTTCTATAAATTACACAACAAGCATTTTCCACTTTTTTTTGTACAATACAATTTTAGTACACTCTCCACATACAATCTGTAGTTTCCAATTTAGCTTCTTAACTGCCAACTAAGCACCAATGGTCCTAAATTCCTCTAGGCCATTAAGTCAGACTTACACTTTGGGGAGTTCTTTGTGGGAAAGCTGCAGTGTACAAACAGAACCTCCTCAGTCTCTCAGCTAATTCTGAAGCAGAGTGCCCACTGATATCAAATCAACTTTTGGGTCCACATGCTGGAAGGGGAAGAGATACCATACAGAGGGACCTTGACAGGCTGGAGAGGTGGCCCCATGTGTACCTCAAAGTTCAACATCGCCAAGTGCAAGGTCCTGCATGTGGATCAGGGCAATCCCAAGCACAAATGCAGGTGGGGCAGGGAATGGATTGAGAGCATCCCTGAGGAAAAAGACTTGGGGGTGCTGGTGGATGAGAAGCTGAACATTACCTGGCCAAGTGAGCTCTCAGCCCAGCCAGCCACTGGTATCCTGGGCTGCATCAAAAGAAGTGTGGCCAGCAGGTCGAGAGAGTGATTCTACCCTTCTACTCTGCTCTTGTGAGACCCCACTTGGAATAGTATGTCCAGCCCTGGGACCTTCAACATAAGAAGGATGTGAACCTACTGAAGCAGGTCCAGAGGAGGCCACAAAGATGATCACAGGGCTGGAGCACCTCTCCTATGAGCAAAGGGTTGGGGTTGTTCAGCTTGGAGAAGAGAAGGTTACATGGAGACCTTCTAGCAGCCTCTCAGTACATAAAGGGGCCTACCAGAAAGCTGGAAAGGGACTTTTAAAAGAAGCATGTAGTGATAGGACAAGCAGGAATAGTTTTAAACTAAAAGAGGATAGATTTAGACTGGATATTAGGAAGCAATTCTTACTGTGTGGGTGGTGAGAAACTGGAACAGGTTGCCCAGAAGTTGTGGCTGTGCCATCCCTGAAAGTGTTCCAGGCCAGGCTGGATGAGGCTTTGAGAAACCTGGTCTAGGGAAAGGTGTCCCTGCCCATGGCAGGAGGTTTGGAACTAGATGATCTTTAAAGTCCCTTCCAACCCAAACTGTGAAAAGGCTGACAGGCAAAATACTGAACAGAAACAACATGGAGAACAATGCACCAAAATCCAAGCTAAAGGGGTTGACACCTCAGACATTTTCTTGGTGGGCTTTATTTATTTCTGTTTCCTGCTGCTGCTGCTTGTTAAAAACCATGACTATTTAAGTGGATGTAGATTTTGCAAGATAGGTACCTGTTAAAAAAGAGCCATTAAATTAATTTGTTGTCTGCTTCCAGCCTTCTGAAAATAACCAGGTCATAGCTAGCTTGCCTTGGACACAAACTGGTGATATATTCCATACAGCTCAGTGATGTGTCTTAAGCAAATAGCAAAGAGGCAGGTTGAAATCAATGACTTACTTTTGTGTTTAGAACGAGGGGCAGAGTGTACATCTGCAGTTGCAGCTTTTAGAGATTTGGGTGGTTCTTTAGGACCCCAGTCTTCTTCCCACTCCTTCTTATATTTCTCTTCCTCTGCCGTTATCCTATACGAAAAAAACCCAACAGCATATTCATTACAGTTATTTAATGCTCAGTATGTTTGGTTTTTCTCTTTATATTAAAGGGTAATAAACTGCTCCTTCCCCCAAACCAAATTCCTTTCATCAGTCTGTTTCATTTACTAAGTTACTGAGTTAATCTGAAAAATAAAATGTAACTGACTAATGTAACTACTAATGTACTAATGTACTTACTAATATAAGTAACAGTATTCTTACTTGAGACTTTTAAGGCCAGTTATACAAACACCTGCACAGATACTAAGCCCAGAGTGATACACTACAGTACTGTGACCTTGACTGAAGCCAAAAATCATTTCTCACGTAGTAATTTTTCACTCTTAGAACTGAGAAATGCCTGTTAGAAAAACAGTCAGTTTTAACAAAAACACTGAGTGACAGAACATCTGCCACATGCCTAAATCAGATGTTACAATGGTAAATTATACCTAGAAAGTGTGTCTTCTTTCTAGATCTTATATCCCTTTTGATGACTGGTTCCTAAACACCTAACCCTAGGTTGCACTAACAAGTTCCCCAAAGAACTAAATACTGTTGAAACATTAAGCATATTAAATTCAGTATTCTAGGGGGGATAAAAAGAAAAATGAAAGAAGACAGGGGAATAGAGGGTCAGAAAAAGAGAGAGGCAGAGAGAGCGTCGCACTTCAGGACAAAGGAGCTTGCAAAACAAGCAATTTACCTAGAAGACACCTAGAATGGAACCATGATCACAAAAAAAGAGGACATTTCAAATGAAAATTCAGCAAATACCAAGTAGGTCACAACAGAAGTGCCATATAACCTAACAGACTGTAGGTTCATATATGGTGCCTGAAGTGATCCAAGATCTATTCTTGACTATAGCTGCTCTTGAACTGGTAAACTGATATATGGTGCCAAAATTTACCAGGTCCTAGATATATATGATGCTATTTATACTTGGATTATCTTTTGCATCTCTAAATTAGTTAAAGTAAATTGAAAAAATATTCTCATGAGGTCAAAGCACTCTTACATCTGTAGCTGAGTTCAGAATTTAAATTTGGAAGCACAGTAAATAGCAGGGAACAATGGACAGAAAGCTCTGACATTTCATTTTAATTAAAATACAAGAGGCTACAATGTAACTTACAGTACACAGAGCTACAAACCTCTGCCATTTAGGCACATTTGAAAATTTTTCCTAAAATGTGTGTAGGTTACTGAAAAAGGACATAGCGACTGTATACAAGGAATTCCTACAGAAAGGACCTTTAAAAGGAAGCCAAAGGTGATCCTCACAAACTGTTAATGCAGAACAGCATTATTTTCTAGTGTAATTGTCTGCTGCAATTGCTTTTTAAATGTCAATTTTAGATTTCATCCGAGTTCCTCTACAACCATTCTCCCTCCTCCTTATCTAGGAGATTGACACTGACTTAACAGTTTGGACTGTAATATGGAAAAGCTTAACAGTGCCTGAGCAGCACTTGAAAATTACACAAGGAAGTATGAAGACAATCTAGACTTTACAGTAAGCAGCCTAGCACTTGAAAATTACACAAGGAAGTATAAAGACGTGCTAGACTTTACAGTAAGCAGCCCTGAGGCAGCCTCATCATGAAAGCCCTCCCTGAGTAAACATGCAGTTCATTCAGCAGAACACTGCAGATATCCATTATAACAGGCAATCTGGACTTGGGGAATGGAATCATTCTTCACCTGTGATGGCCTGCTTTTACAGCAGCTTTTGGCTATTGCAGGGATTTCTATAGTAGACCACAATAAAGAACAAGATGTTATCATTTCCCCAGGAATTATAAAAGGGAAATGTGTAAGAATTCATCCATGTGCTGCACTAGAACCCACTGCATGACTTTTTGCAGCTTACAGATTCAGAAATCCCTGCTTTTTTTCTATCAGAAAGTTTTAGCTAATACAGGGCAGCTTACAGATTCAGAAATCCCTGCTCTTTTTCTGTCAGAAAGTTTTAGCTAATCCAGATACATGAAAAGGGACTTCAGTGAATGAATATGAATTAAAAACCGTTCAGTGTGCCAAAGATAAAAACCTGAAGACTTCAGGGTCAATCTTTGCTCTAAAAGGCTGCATCAAAGTGCATCAAAGTGCAATTTAAACTTCTTTCATGCAATTTCCCAAAGTCATTTAGATGGGAAATTAGTTACTGGGAACACAACAATATGTAATAGTGGTTAAATTTCGAACTTCCAAATATAAAACAATGTTTAAGTTACAAATATGGTGCTGACTTTATTATGATGCAATCTTTGTGTCTTGTTCCTAGAATCACAACTTTTTAAAACCAGAAAAGACTGTGATAATAAGCATCAGAATTCCTGAATAAAATAGGTTATAGGACTTCCTGCTTTTGGTGTCAGTTTTACTTAATTCTCACTTTAGAAAAAGCAAAAGCCTACTTAAAATTTATGATGACCAAAATTTCTACTCAAGACAATTAACATCACACATCGACCTTATTTTAGTCTAACTCTACACAGCTTTGGTTTTCAGAACTGTCTGATGGACTGAAAAGGCAATTAGAATTCTACATTGTGTACCCTCTTACATATCATGAGCAAACTACCTGTGTTTTGTTTTGGATTTTTAAAATATAAGGTAAGAGGATATGTCATTGAGCCTCCAAATATATGTATGTTTTCTAACTCTTTAGTTATTCTTTTCTGTTTCTTCCTCAAACCATTTCTTTGCAGTACTAATTTTCTTTCTGCTAGAATTAAATATTGTGGTTCAGGAATAACAGAGTGAACAAGTTCCTAGATACATAACTTCCTCAATATTAAGTTTCTCTCTATATTCATGACATATTTTTAAAAAATAAGTGCTCAACTTCAACTTTATATTGAATTATCATCATAAGCCTCATGTATTCCAGGTGTCGATTTTCAGATCAGTTTCTGTAACTGTGGTGTACTTACTGATATGTACTGGAGCCTACATTGAACTAAATGGAAATGTTACACAATTTTATTAGAAAGGAACGTGCACAATGTTTTCAGCCAGATACATTGAACTAAATGGAAATGTTACACGATTTTATTAGAAAGGAAAGTGCACAATGTTTTCAGCCAGGTCTAATATACAAGAACTCTCTTTCAGGTGGCATTTTGCCTAAGTACGGTTTTTACTTACTGCTCTATTTCTCTGCGATATCTCTCTTCTTCCTCTGCAGCCTTCTGGGAAATCTCCAGTTTTCTTCTATAATAAAAGGATTTAGGACACCATACTAAAAATAGCATTTTTTGATTAAGAACTTGAACAAAGTGAGTGAGCATACAGTCAGCAAGACAGAGACAGTAAACATATATTGAGGAAAAATGCTCTTTTTTAAAAGTCATCCTTAAGATACCAAGGGTTCAATATCCTTCCATAGGAAAGCTGAGGATATTCCTGACCATCTGGATAATAAGGGCATATCATCTATTTAAATTTTTTAAGGTACCATCTCTTTCTGAGACAGTTCCCTAGTGTGCTATTTTAAGATTATAAAATTTGTAACTGCCCTGCTAAAAATACAGGATAAGGGAATATCATCAGGAACATAATATCACACTGAATCACAGGGGTATGAGAGTTGGGGAGCAAAGTGATGCTTCTACTCAAGACGGGCTTGAATGATACCAGCTCTGAAAACCCAGAGCATCATAGGATAAGGATTTTATCAACAGAGACTCTGCAACAGCAAAATGAAGTTAATCTAAGTTGAAAATCTTCTCACTTCTGTGAGAAGTGTCACAGAAACAATAATGTGCTTCTGGCTTCCATGCCCTCTCCAAATTTTTCAGACTGTCCTATATAGAGTCCTTACAATCTCTCTTTCTCCTGCTGCTCTTTGATGATTTTGTTAGTCTCCAGGGCAAGCCGCTTCTGGTGCATTAACTCCTGGCGCTCTAGCTCACGGAAACGTGCTTCTCTTTGCCTTTCTTCTTCTGTCATGAACAGCTCCTTTCCCTGCAATCAAAACCACAACCCAAATCAATGAGAAAAGAGTCTCATAAACATAGCTCTTTTAGGAAATAATTCAAAACCAATCACATACTAGCACATCTGCAATTTCCTCATGTCACTTTTTCTGAGTAATGCATTTTGAAAGACCCTGAAAGACCTGACCACTTCACTCCAAAGAGCTAGTCCAATTTCAGCCCAAAGTTAGGATGTGCTAAACACTTCAGAGGAGGAATTCAACTACTAAAGACAGCAACAGCAGTGTAGGGGTTTGTTCTGCCAGTTGATGGAGGCAACAGAAATGACCCAGACACCAACAAAAAGAATAGACTTATTTTACTACTGGTGTTTTAAGATACTAGAAAAATGAATAATATATTTACATATAAGGTTAATGCACCAAATTATTACTATATACAGGAAAGAACAGTGATTAAGAGAGATATATTACCAATTGCCCTAATACTTTATCATCATCCAGATCTGCAGTCGCTGGGGAGCCCCTGGTTGCAGTGAGGGTTTGGAGAGCCTTTCCCAGCAATTGGGAAGTCCTACACACTGTGTCCACTCATAGCTGAGCTGTCTAAAATCACTGCAAGTGGGTCCAGCTTTTATAGGCCAAATTAGCAAGCAAAAAAATAACTTGCAGTTTCTTGTTGTTTGTACGGATAATACCTGGTGGTTCTCCCCTCCAACCAACCGAGGACGGGGCTTGGCCAGAGCCCAGGACATGGGTGGTGGAGTTTCCTGAGATAGATTATAGACAGGACATGACCTTGGCAACACTTCATGGGCAATTATATAACCAGTACCAAAATATGAGATATTTTACAGAAGGCACCATGGCCTTGGGCAGATATATAGCCTATACAAGGGTCATCTATAAGGTATCTTCCAGGCAGCATGGCCCATGACAGGTATACAGCCTAAGCAAAGGTTATCTGCATCTATGTTCCACATGAAGTGGTCTAATTAACTAACACAAAGGAGCACTGTTCACAAGGAATACAGGATTCATGCATAAGTCAACTCTGGTTTGGGCCTATTGTTCAGGCCCTAGCATTTCAGACCCTAGCATTTCAGGGTCATGCCAAATACAGGCTCAGTGTGTCACCCAGAAAAAACTTCGTTATACTTTCTGGAAATCTGAGCAATGAAATGCCAGAGTACAACACTTGGAGAAATTCCCAGTGTAAAGACAACTATACAGTTACTGTGTTTTAATGCTCTTATGCTTGGCTACTGCAGAAATGTACCATCTTTCAGAGAACACAAATTCAGGGAATATAGACATTACCAAAACACTGTATAGCTGAAGTGTTGGTTTTGTTCCTGGTTCATTTGCTTTGCAGTTAAGACACCAGCACTATTTTCTATTCAAGAAAGATACTTACACAATGCTATACATGGAACACTTTGATAACATTAATATTCATTTCTGAAATCACAAACCCATATTAATTTTGGCAGGAGTTTTCATGTCCCTAAGGTTCAAAATAGACAGATGAAACAAAACCAGGCACTGAAGAATGCCTTTGCCCCATGGTCTTTGCTTACAAAAACCAGAAGCAGGGAACCTGTTTCCTTTTGCTATCTCTTCTTCAGTATAATGATGCATACTGAGGAAAGGAGAGACATGCAAGGTGAAGTAGTGTGGAACAGAAGAGTTCCATAACAGCAATTTGCCATTTTAAGGATACAATCCCAGTGATGCATACTGGAGTAGATCTCATATTTTCTAACAGTTGGTAACATATCTGGGAGTTGAAACTAAGTCCTTAGGATTAAATGATGATCTGAAGCTTAATCAACTAGTCTGCAGCATTTGTTTAAACATTCTCTATAATGTTGGACAACAGAATCTTTTGTTACTGTAAGAGTAGTCTAAATAAAACACTGATTCCTTAATGTAGCTGCACAGTATACATGAGCCCTTGGGAAGCAGCTGAAGTGATTTGTTACATATTTTTTCCAACTTAATTCAGTTGCAAAGCAATTAGAAAACACCGTCTTCGATTAGTTTACGGAACATGATTATCCTTTTGTATATAAGCAGTCACTTTGCTATAAGAAGGATGAAAGCAATAAAAACATTAAAACATTTATTGAAAGTCACACTGAAGTCAGAGGGAAGATGTAATTAATTTCAGCTGAAGAGTGGAAATGAAAAATTGAAAAATTTTCAGTGTGTTGATACACTAAAAAATCAGAGGAACAATTACAAAAGGAATTCATTTGGAATATGACTCAGACATCAACTATTCAGGATGAAAAATTATTTGACTCCAATTCACCTTTCATGTTTCAGCAGAAGCAGATATCTACTAGAACAGAAGCTCTCAAACACGAGAAGCCACTAAAATGAAATTAATTTCTGTTCCTTGCAAAAGGAATGGTTTTGAATCGGCCCACAATCATGAAACTGTTCTATTTGGTCATCAGAAAGGGACTGGGGAGTACTGGTGGCAGCAGCTTGACATGAGCCAACAGTGTGCACAGGTGGCCAAGACGACCAACAGCATCTTGGCCTGGATCAAGAACAGTGTGGCAGAAGGACTAGAGCAGTGATCATCCCCCTGTACTCAGCACTGGTGAGGTCACACCTTGAGTGCTGTGTTCAGTTTTGGGCCTCTCACTTAAAAAAGGACACTGAGCCTCTGGAGTGAGTCCAGCCAAGGGCAACGAGTCTCAGAAAGCATCCAGAACACATGTCCTGTGAGGAAGGGCTGAGGGAGTTGGGTTTGTTTAGATTCGAGAAGAGGCTTGGGGGTGACATCATGGCTCTCCACAGCTAACTGAGAGAGGGTTGTAGAGAGGTGTGGGATGGTCTCTCCTGCCACGCCTGCAGGGAGAGAACTAGAGGGAATGGCCATAAGTTGAGACAGGGAAGAGACAGATTAGACGGAGGGAATGGCCATGAGGTGAGACAGGGAAGAGACAGACTGGACATTAGGAAACCTGTTAGGGTGGTCAGGCATTGGAATAGGTTGCCCAGGGAGGTGGTGGAGTCACCACCCCTGAAATTCTTTAAGAGGCCTCTGAATCCAAGTCTGGAGGATATGGTTTAGGGGTTACAGCAGTGGCTGGTTAATGGTTGGACTTGATGATCTTAGGAGGTCTCCTCCAACCTTGATGATTCTACGATTTTATTTGAGAATAGTTTCGATAGTATGAAGCACTCAAAAGCCACTCAAACATATCCTGGTTTGAGAGAATTTAGTGGTCTAGACCTTATAAAGGAATATAGCTTTAGTTTTTATCCATATATTTTTCCCATTTTTTTTGCCCACATAGGAATTTTCACAAATGTTCTGCTTTTACAGATATAATACTTACAGCGCCAGCTACCACAGAGATAGTCAAAGTACGACTGCTTTTGAGCACTCTGACAGCCTGCAAATTAAAACAGAACAAAAATCAGTCCAAAGGAAGTACTCAAAGGCCTGTATATATAGGACGAAAGATGCTGGTTGCCAAGGCTGGAATATCCAGAAGCCTTACCTGAGCTAAATAGGGTGGTAGGTATGCAAAGTTCCAAATTCCCAGCTTCAATACAGAACCTCTTAAGGAGGCCAGTATCAAAACTTATCTTTTTTTTTTTTTGTAGCCAGGAAAATCAGACAGATGTTTAATAAGCTGACAACCAGAAATTCAGGGAATTAAAATTACGTGATCTTACCTCTTTATGATCCACATTAGAAAAGTCCACTCCATTTACCTCAACAATCTGATCACCAACCTAAAGAAGTTAACACAAGTTTTAGTACAGAAGCTAAGGTAGTACATATATTAAATGTGGTACCCTGTGGTACCTACCTTGAAGGTGGCATACTTACCTCTAAGCCAACCTCTGCTGAAAGAGAACCCGGCTTAACATTGCTGATAAAAATTCCTGGTTTTTGTGTTGGACCACTGGAAATACTGGTAATATAAAAAACCCAAATATGTATAGAATAATAAGTACAGAAAAATACAGTGAATAGTTTTAGTTCTTTTCTCATAATTGGTTTTTGATTAAATAATAGTTAAGCTATTAGCCTACTCTGAAACATCAAAATGTGCAAGTATACACACAATGCTTATCATCCTACTTTTCTATTCTTTACACCACAAAACTGATTGAAGAAAAAGCTAAAACAAAAATATTCAAGCTTCTGGATTTTGCCTTAGATGTCGAAACTAACATAGTATACCCTGCTACACTGTCTAAGGGACTGGGACACGAATAACATTTTAAAGCAAGCAAGTAACACTATGAAGAATTACTACTTCTTGCACATTTACTCACTGAACTGCAGTATACTCCATGTATAAAACAATTTTATTTTTTAGGATTACTTATTAGAAGAAAGAAGGATGGTTGCCAGCTGACTTAATACGAGCCAACAGTGTGCACAGGTGGCCAAGAAGACCAACAGCATCTTGGACTGGATCAAGAACAGTGTGGCAGAAGGACTAGGGCAGTGATCATCCCCCTGTACTCAGCACTGGTGAAGTCACACCTCAGTGCTGTGTTCGATTTTGGGTCCCTCACTTTAAAAAGGACATTGAGGCACTGGAGTGAGTCCAGTCAAGGGCAACGAGGTCAGAAAAGGTCCAGAACACATGAGGAAGGGCTGAGGGAGTTGAGTTCATTTAGCCTTGAGAAGAGGCTCAGGGGTGACCTCATGGCTCTCTACAACTACCTGAAAGAGGCTGTAGAGAGGTGGGGGATGGTCTCTCCTGCCATGGCTGCAAAGAGAAGACTAGTGGGAATGGCCATAAGCTGAGACAGGGGAGAGTCAGATTAGATGTTAGGAAAAATGTTTTCTCTGTTAGGGTGTTCAGGCACTGGAATAGGTTGCCCAGGGAGGTGGTGGAGTTGCCATCCCTGGGAGAGTTTAAGAGTTGTCTGAATCTGGCGCTGAAGTATTTGATTTAGGGGTTAGAGCAGAGTGGCAGGTTAATGGCTGTATTTGATGATCTTAAGAGGTCTCCTCCAACCTTGATGATTCTATGATGTTTCAACCAGAGGCCAACATCTAGCTTGGAAACTTTAAGTTGCCGTCTAAGCTGAGCCCAACTAAACACAGAAACTGCTTTTGAAGACTATATATCCAACAAGTGATGTTGAACCACTTTTGTTCATAGAAGTTGGTAAATAATTTTTTAAAAACCTTAACATCCTTCAAATAACATGAAACAAATCCCCCTGATAACTTTACAAGTATATATTCATTAACACATAAGAAAATCCTTCAATATCCTTTCTATCCCCAAGACCTCTATAACTATCGCAAGGGCAGGAGTGCAAGGACCACAGAATTATATTTCTAAAAAATCTTGCAAATTCAACATTACTTTGAGGAACTGGCTATTGCTTTGTGATGACATCTAAGTCTGAATAGGGTCACAGAAAACAGAGAGAGAACCTGACAGTGGACTGTCTTGGAACTTGCCATGTCACCAAGCAGCATTTGAAAGTATTTAAAAACCTAAAAGCATTTAAAAGATCCAATTCCATGACAACTTGTATTATGACACTTTCAGCCTGCTTTTATTCTTAAATTTAAATTTTCTAGTTGTACAATGGAGCTTTTAAGGCAGGTATTTATGTTTTTGCCTAATAATACAGAATATGTGCCACAGATACCCTGCTGTTCCAGTCAGCCTTCCTGATTCAGCATGGATCTCCATTTTCCTGATATCATATCAGTGAAGGATGGAAATAACTGCCTAGAATGTCTCACTTAACAAACCAGTTACATCAAATGAGAAACATGTACCCACCTGCATCCCATGCCTTTTGTACCAATCAAGCTCATGAAGACTTTCTTCTCTTTACTCTCTCTCCCTCCAGAAGAAGCAAGTCCAGCAACACTGCCCTTTCCTTCCTGTAGAGGGATCAAAAATGCTGTAGATGTTTGTCTTGAATTCATATCAAGACTACTATAAAATTTCATGTAGCCTGGATGAAACCCTGCCAACATCAAGATAAGATTCCTCCAAGGTCCTATCTTACTGGAAATGAATGGGAAGCAGAGCAATTTCAGTGGAGCTGCATGGCTGAGGTGAAAGACTGACCTTATCTATTTGGAGAAGATTATTTAAATAGTCAAACTTCATCTTCAGAAAAGGGTGAAGGAAAATTAGAGGAAAGTGATATGGCAAAATAATAATTTGGATGTTTCCTGACAAAAGGGTTGGAGAAAGACATGATAGTCTAAGACTTTGTTTCAGGAAGAAAAGAATGGTAATCATGATATTTCTTTTCACTGCTGCAAACCATAGAAGTCACTCACATTCAAAGTTGTAATTCCTCCACTAATATACCTAAGATAGGCCAAATAATCTGATAAAGATTTATACAGTAGAACTACAGTCTGAGAAGTTAATAAGCTCAAGTAAAATAAAGTACCAATTAATAAGCAAAAGT